GTAAAACATGATTCTGGAGGGAGTAAAACATGATTCTGGAGGGGGTAAAACATGATTCTGGAGGGAGTAAAACATGATTCTGGAGGGAGTAAAACATGATTCTGGAGGGGGTAAAACATGATTTTGGAGGGGGTAAAACATAAGTCCTCTTTTATGATTTAACATGGTTTTTACGATGCCTCCTAATTATATAAACAGAAAATAATGAAGAAACCATTGTTAATTCTGCATGGGGGGACCCAACATTAGTCACCTCTTATGATCATTGAGTTGGTTACGGATTCAGGAGGCCTCATTCTTTCCCAAAACAGCATGTTTTATTATATCTGATATGAAAGGATATTTTTTATGTTACTGATAGAGTATTTATCATGATCACTTCTGGGATGTAGTACATGTGATAGAAGATGGATTTCTACTGTAGGTGTCATGTCCACAAGCAAGCATAACAAACAACCAATTCAAAGCAGTATGTCTTACACAACCAAAGGCTATATAAAAAGAGAGGCCCAAGGGCCTTAGTGGTCACCTGAGTTATATCATAGGTACTGGTAGCTTTATTTTATTGTTTAGATTGGATGTGGAAATCAGCATGTAAACTAGGTGAAATACAATACTTGTCATGTCATCAAAGGATAAGAATTTTAAAATATTGGTAAATGTTCCATTTGGGGCCCCGTCCTAGCCCCTGGGGATGGGGCAGGAATGCCAATTTTACAATGTAACACCCTCATTCACCAAAGATGATTCTAACAAAGTTTGCATAATTTTCAGCTGAAAATGGATAAAATATACCCCAAAGTGTTATTTCCCTATATAAACTATAGTAAACTTAACCCCCTCTCCAAGAGAGAACGGATGGTTCAGGGGTCCTGAAATTTACAATTTAAATAAAGCCCCTGATGATCTTTCTTTCCATGCAGAGAAAATGACTGTAGTATTTCTGAGTCTGGAGAAGAAGTTTTTTGAAATATTGGTTAATTTTCCCTTTGGGGCCCAGCCTTGGCCCCAGGAGTTGGGGTAGGAATCCCAATTTTACAATTTTGTAGCCTCATCTACCAAGGATGATTCTGACCAAGTTTGAAAAAAATCCATCCACTGGTTCTTGAGAAGAAGTTGAAAATGTAAAAAGTTTACGCACGATGGACAACGCACAACGGACGCAGAAGGACGGAAAGCGATTAGAATAGGTCACTTGAGCAAAGCTCAGGTGACCTAAAAAACTTCAAATACTTCATTTTTTTTAAAATTTTGATAGTCAGCTTTAAGCTGTGGCTGTTTTTTCTTTCCTCGACACTTACGCTGTCCTTGGTAGATTCCATCTGTTTTGTCCAGACTGTTTGTAGACAGTGGTCGACAGCCCCACACTCCTTGGCCCGGGACACATGGCTACACCAGTAGGATGGCCCCCAGGTACACTTTCTGGAGCCCAACAGGGAACTGCTCCCAACGCTTACTGCAATGACAACATATACAAACACTGACATTCAATCATATATTCATACTCTTAATCACCATTAATGTATTTAACCACAACATTAAATGTCTGCAATATATTCTTATAAGTACTTGTAGCATCAGGAGCTGTTTTTGAACTGACACCAATTACTTAAAAATGTTATTGTATTGATCTTATTCTGGATTAACTAACAGTATTAAAGGGACATAAAAATAACAGATGATTTTGTATGAATTTTGAGAAAATAGAAATGCAAACTGATTTTGGATGTTCTTATGTAAGAATATTGTTACCTTTTTAAAGTTAAATCATAATCGATCCTTTATTACTGCTGAAAAAAAAACTCTTTTTTTTTTCATCAACAAACAGCGGGATTGCTCTATCAGTATCCTGTTCCTTAAATTATAATGTGGTTACTATGTTAGGTTCTCTGATGTACCTAACCACAGAACTGTACTGTTTTATCATTTTTTCTTTTTCTTTGAAGGGCAGGACAATAAGCTTTGTAAGTACAATGTATAAGACAACAGCAGTGTTTAATAGGTTTGGTCATAAACTTCCTTCCTACCACTATATATATAGAGAGAACAGAGAACAGCTGTCAAGTTAGGTAATATATAAATGTTTTGTTCGATTTTATATGAAAATGAATCCTTTAAAAAGCAAGAACGGATATTTGATCTCTGAAGCCATTAATTATAAGTGCTTTTAATGATGGTGTTGTACTCCACTTTATTTTAAAGTATGTTGAAAGGTTGTCAAGTTTGAACTTGCTTCATCAAGGCTTAAATGTTTGCTATCTAAAATGACCATGAAAATGTGTGTAAGTACATGTAATTTATTGGTAGGATGAGTCATCATTAAGTGTTTACTTCCTTAAAAGATCAATTATCCCATCAGCCTAAACTGGCTAAAGTTCATCATCACATCACCATGCATTATCATACAAAGTCCAAATACATCCGATATATATATATATGTTCCTGTTCAGGCCTCAGACTGTAGTGTATTGCAGCATATTTTGTTGATTATATAACAAAAGGTTTCTACATTCAGCAACTTTTTGGGTTTCAGATTCACCTTTCACCTAAAAATGTTCCGTGTGATTCTAGGACATTTCCAAGAATTTGATTAAGACTAATTTTTCTAAAACAATCTGTATATAATGTACTTCTATTTTCAACGAAGCAAGAAACAACAGATTACATCCATCACTGTCAAAGTAGGTCAGGCTCCGCTTAACAATGTTACATTTCCTAGTTAGTAAGCATGGGTGTTTCAAGATCTGACCAAACAAAATCAATGTGCAAGTTTTAAGCCCCCTAGTCTAAATCCCTGACTAACATGTTGTTTGGCTTACGCTTTTAGGGATAATCTTGTTTCACAGAGTTCTAGATGATGTGCTTCAGAGGGTTCTTGTTTCCTAACGTAAACTTTGCAGGATGCATCTCTGAACAGTAATAGTATTCATGAAATTTGGCAAAATCAACACTGTTCCCTGCACTTTTTATTTTCATACTTGACTGTAAAAAAAATCTCCTCTTCAAAAATGTGTACGGGCCATAGATAGAATGTTCTCCATAGCTATAGGGTCTTTTTGAAAAGATTGTGCACCAGATTTGATACCTCAACTAATGCTTGTATCGTCCACCAAATGACTACACACAAGGCTTTGCAGACTCCACACCTTAGGATTTTATATTACAGCATGTTATGTAAAACGAATACATGTACATTTACTGAACAAAGCATGTTTTACCAACTGCTTCCAGGTATCAGTCAAGTGTACTTTATTTATACAATGATAAACAAAAATGAATGTAATACATGAGCTGGGTTTTCTTAGGTAAACGGTCAACTAAATTGAAAACACAAATTACAATGAAAAGTCATTTAGGAGTCAGATATCACAGGTTTATGGTTCAACAAGCTCATTCTAAATCTCAAGCCCCTGATAAGTCATGACTACTCAAAGACCCCAAATTAAAAATCAGAATTTACATATGTAACTCTTGAATATTATAATTATCAAACCTGTACATTAGCTATTAAAATGGTACATTAAACAAATATGTTAACATAGTCAATAATAAGACAGTATGCCTTGTGTCTTCATAAAGATAGTTCACCAGCATTACAACATGCCAAACTCTTTTAATCATTTTTTTAAAATGAAATTATCAGGTTGGGGAAAACCACCAACTTGCGTATATATGCACACTAGCCTATTATACGCATGTTGGAGTATGGATTTGTTACTAAAAATAACCCAAATCGCTGTAACAGTAACTTTTGCAAGATATTATTGAAAATCGCATTAATTTACGACACAGTAAATAATACTTTGCTAAAAGATATTGACTGAAAGCGTTGGCTACTTAGAAAGTTGATGAAACTTTACCGGAAGTATTGCTTCTATTTTTGGTACTTTCCCACATGGAAATAAAGTTTATTTTTGCATTTGTATTATGTTTCATGAGAGAATAAATGCGACTTGGACAAACAATTTGGAAAAGTTAAGATTAAAGTGATTTTGGCTATTTTTAGTAAAAAAATCCATACCCCTATTGGCGTATAATAGGCGAGTTTGCATATGATACGCAAGTTAGTGGTTTTCCCCGACCTGATTAAAAAATATATGAAAAATAATCAAAATTATAAAAATAAGCTTTGCATGACCTAGCTAATGTATAATTTCACTTATGAATTTCAATTAAAGTCTTTAAATATGACATCAAGGGGTGGGAATTTTGGGTGACTAAACCATCATTTAGGGGACTTGTTGAACCTTAATGATTTATGTAACTACTTTTTTGGCAGTGTCAATATATACTGTAAGTATGCACCATTCATACATTTGTCATATGGGTGCTGTGAATAGATTTTTTCACATTTTTAGTGTCTATTAGATATTAAAATACCAATATAACAAACGTATTATGTTTACATCTATGCAAATTTGCTATTATATCTTCTGAGAGAGGTAAAACGAGAGGAAATCCAGCCTCAGGTAACAAGTATAACATGACGTAATTAGGCTACAGTACAGGTGTACTGTAACGTTAACTGTCAACATATCTTAGAATATATCAGATACCTGTATACTGATGCAGTTAAGAACAATATTTTACTGATAATAAATCAATATCTAATCATTTAAGATAAGAAATATCCTTACCGAAAGCGAGTAATGATAAAAGTCCGACCAATCTCATGATGACACCTCAAAATAACAATCGTGACTTCAGTGCTTCACAATCATGTGAGCATAATAGCTGGATCATGTGATTCTCTACGCCGTTTGCCTCCGCACTTTTCATTGGCTATCCGGAAAAGGTGCATTCGATTAGCACGCTGTAACATATTGCACGTTATGACATGTGGAGTATTAAAGAGGCGCTGTCATTAGAAGGAAAATTCGTCTGCTGGATAACCGATACATCCGGTAGTGAAGCGGACGTAAAACCTATCAATCAATCTTAGAAGGAAAACACGTCTGCTGGATAGCCGAACTACTCGTTAGTGGAGCGGACGTTAAACCAATCAATCAATCGATCAATTAGAAGGAAAACATATTGATTGCATTGATCATTCGTGTAAATGCAGCGGAACAGACAGGGACTCACGCTCAGCACCTTTCAGGTCATAATCTTATTTCCATTTTGCGGATGACTAATATTTTCAATAGATTGTTTACAAGTAACTTAAAAAATCACCGAATGTATAAAAGTGTAGGATTATTTGGCACCAGAATCTCCGTATGTTAATTGAAAATGAACATAAATCTCAGCAAAAAAACTGTCCGTGCACTCACTAATTTAATTCTATTATTTAGCATTTTATCATATATAACGAATTGTCCGGTGGCGTTGTTTAAGTATTTTTTGGCAACATCCTTCACAATGCCGATTGTGTCAGCAGTTTAGGCGTGACCGTGGTAACTTCGGCCTATTTTTATTAAAGTCGTTCGTGACAGTATGGCATTTGTTGAAATTATATGTATATAAATTGTACGTTATGACATGTGGATTATTAAAGGCGCTGTCATTTAGAAGGAAAACCCGTCTGCTGGATAACCAAACTTCTGGGTAGTGAAGCGCCCCGGACTTAGCCCGGGGCGGAACATATGCCCCGGTCTCCTCAAAAATAATATAGAAAATACATGGAAGAGTGGTACACTTGACAAAGTCCTCGGACATCATTTGTAGTATAAGTTTGTATCATCATCTAACCTATAGTTAACTTTAGTGTAAGTTTGGATTATACGGAGGTCATCTGTAACCCATAGTCTTAGTTCAATATTTCTTCTTATATTGGAAAAAAAGTTGCATATTTTACTTTTATTTTGTAACAGAAAAAAAGAAATCTCCATTTCTTTCTGTATACTTGGCACTTAGTAAGCATGCATTTTGTATCAATATTTTTAATACCAATTATGTATATATCACTTGCTTGTGTTGAAAATGTTGACCCGTAGATCTGCGATGATTGAAAAATGATTGCACCCATCCCACATTATCTTTCAATACTGTTCTACAATTTATTTGAAAAAACTGCTGAATAATATTTGTTGAAAGAGCACTTCCCTGTAAAAGACCACACTCGGTTGTTATCCATCTTTACCTCAATCCGCTAAATATAATATTTCTTTTTACACCGGTATGATTTCGATGTTACCCAGCTCTAATTCATGCAATTTAAAGACCAGCCCAGCATGCCAAGCTGTGTCGAAAGCCTTATTGCTATCGAAAAAACATACATGTACAGCACATCTTCTCCCTTCGCCGTGTTACAACGTATACATTTTTGCAGATTAAAATTCTTCGAAATGACATGCCTATTTTTCAACTATGACATTAGGATAACGATGGTTACCATGACGATATGCGACTCCGTCGTACTTCAATTCAGGTTGAGCATATCGTGTCTTTGATGTTTTCCCTTTATAAACATTTTCCAACATTATTTCTGTTCAATCCCTCCCGATTTCTCTTTCTCTTTAACTAAGCTGGCATGTACTTCTCTGGGCTGACCACGTAAACCAATTAATAAAATCTTCTTCTCAAACAGTTACAGCTTTAAAAAAAAAACTGAAATACAAAGTAAGTAAATCTACTCTTAATACTATATATATATATCATTTATTCGACCTGTGCTAGAATATGCTTCTAGCGTTTGGGACGGCTACTCCGAACATTTGTCCGACTCCTTTGAAAAAGTAAAATTGGAAGCAGCTAGGGTCATCTCCGGTCTTACGACCATTGCTTCACGCGAGGCATTATATTTAGAAACTGGCTGGAAACCACTTAAACAGAGAAGAGAAGAGCAGAAACTGTGTACTTTTTATAATATTCACTATAAACGCCCCAGCTTACTTAGAACACCTAATCCCACCAGAGCAGACGCGATTTAAACAGGGAGTTAAGAAACCCAGGCATCCCGTTGTCGTGTTGAAATTACAAACAATCTTTTGTTCCGTCGTCTATACATTTATGGAATAATTTAGATAACGAAAGAAAATCCGGTGTTTCTCTTCAGACTTTTAAGAGTAAAATTTCTCGTGTACCTCCATCTGTGCCTGATTATCTGCATACTGGAAATCGCTATCTTTCTGTACTACATGGCCGTATAAGGCATATCGTTGTAGTGGTTTACGGTCAGATTTATTTAGAGTAGTAATTTGTCGGTCCCCAAATTGTTTGTGCGGTGACGGTGTGGAAGTTGCGAATCACTACTTCTTTACATGTTCAAATTTTGTTATTCAAAGACGTGTCTTATTTGATATATTGCACGATTTAAATGTAGATTTTAATCTAGAAATTATTTTGTGGGGAAATAGTGACACTTACTCCTATGAAACAAACATCAATATAGTTAAATCGGTACAGACGTTTTTGAATACAACAAAGCGTTTTGATACTACCTGAACGAACCTTTTACAATCGGCACCGAATCTGCTCCCTCCCGACTTCCTTTCCCGTCTTTCATCTACTTTCTCTTCCAATCCCCCTTTGCTTTTTGTGATGAAGTTGATTTAGACAAAAAATACATCTACCATATTATTATTTTGTAAATTTATCTCTGTGTACATAACTTGAATTTGTCTCTCATCCATTTGTCTGTTTCGACAATAAAATATGTTTAAATCAATCATGTACTTCTCAAACGCCTTTTTGCATGAAGCAATTGCTTGTTCCGTTACCAATTCCACTATTATTTAGGCTGACTATACCATTTCATTGACCGTCGTCAAATCGGGACGCAATTTGTTTTACAATCTTTTCCCGTATTTGAGGCACATCGGCAACACAAGAACCAATGATGAACACTACCTGAAAAGAGTGCGTTCGGAAATACCGATATAGGATCCAAACTCGCCAGTAGACAGAATACACCTAAACCAAACGTTACCATTCCAGTAGACAGGATACACCTAAACCAAACGTTACCATTCCAGAACACAGCCAACATCAGCTCCAGACGTGATACAGACTTTAATTGTATCCACTAAGTAAATGCATGATTTAACAGGATTTGGACAAAGAAAGTTGCTTTATTTCACAGCCGAGCACAAGTGTGTGAAAAGACGGAAGTGTTTGGTCCCTTTTGAAATGACATAGTCGGAGTGCAAAGTTAATACAGTGTTTCTTTACCTTTGTTTAGATTCTGATAGTATCAACGAAGTATGGACATTTATTGTGAACCTATACACTTCACGCTCACCATTGCCATTCATTTGATTGCATGACCAGATAAAAGTGATATATATAAGCTAAAATCACACGTTACTATAGCTCTCCGATATTGTTGTTAATAAATCACCATGTTTTAGATTAATCTAATTCAATTTTATTGTTCTGAAATCGTTGTCGTGAGCCGTTAGATATTTTAAATGGCCGCCAATCAAGCAAAATATCACCGACTGTCTGTGGTTGAGGAATCCCTACAATTTCCAATCATCAGATAAAATATACTGTTAGTTATACACTTATAGTAACACGTTGGCATGTGATTAACTACATGAATAAGTTGTCGGCAAGAGTATGATTAAGAAAGTGTATTTAATCTCCAAAAATGAATAAAAATTGATTACAGACAGCTGATCTTATTGATACTGTGCAAAGGTAAGCCATATATAGGAGGGATGACAGTAAACCTATTTTCGTAGCACTGCCCCTCTCCTAGACATATATGGGTCCAACTATACCACATAGGATTCACGAAAATACTGATTTGGTTTCAAATTTACTCTTTTACATAATTCCAGATGGTATATTTACAAATCTAACATGCCAGCCGATAAAAGGTAAATGTTTTAAAATGACAAAACATTCCATAGAAGGCTCCTAATTATTAATAAGTTATACTTCAAAGTTGGATGTATCAAATTTCAAGTTGACATTTGGGATCTTGGCCTACTGATCTATTTTGTCTTCTCTGCTGTTATCCGTTGAATTGGGCACACCTATAATATAATCATAGGTGTATTGACAGACGAGGCTAGTACCTGTGGATTGGGGCATGTTAACAGTAAATGTACCTTGTGCTAACTTTTGGTCAAAGCTTCATACAGCTGTGTATGACATTGTTCTGTCGTTTGACCTATTATAGTATACTCACACATGGTAATTTCCTGTTGTTCATAATTGTGTATTTTTCCTTGATTTTGTGTTTGTTATATGGATCGAACGGCGTTTTTGTAATTTTCAAGCCGGTATGAACGCAAATCGGTTACATCCATATTGCATGAAACCCGCTAGGGCTTCATGTTTAATAGGGATGCAACCGATATGCGTTTATACCAGCATGAAAATAAAAACACACCGTTCAATCCATAAATTTACATTTTTACTAGAGAAAAATTGTTTAATTGTATTTATTTATTCTTAAATAATTAATTTATTAACTGCGTTTTGTATATGCGTCGTCCTTTAAACGACATTGGCGGAATCCAGTCCTATTTAAATAAAGTTGGTGCCATAATTAACCGTAGTCATTTGAGTGTTTGACGCAGGGGCATTCTCCATATTATCCGAAGCGAAGCGACAAGACTCTCATTGAAGTTCCGGGTTGTGTCGCCTGAAATCCCTTTCGCCCTAGGTTGTTTCGCCCTAAAACAAATATTTTAGGGCGAAGCATTGTTTCGATTTTTTCTTTGAAGTTTAGTAGTTTTAAGTCACAAATTAAGTTTTCTTAGTCTTCCATATAATATAAAACATTTTTATAAAAACAAGTGGCCAAATGGGCCTGCTTCGCTCACCTGGTATTAATCTCACACTTGTCAC